GGGGGGATGGGCATGGAGGAGGGCACTTTGGGGATGAGCACTGAGTGTTATGTAGAAACTAATTTGACAATAAACTATTTGTAAAAAAAAAATAAATAAAAAAAATAAAAAAAATAAAATAAAATTATCAACCACAAAAAACAATGACATATTCCTGGATATATACACTTTTGAAATAAAAATAAAGTACATAATAAAAAAATAATAAAATTATATGTATTTTAAAAATCTCAGTGTTTACATCAATTTGGATCTAAAATTCTATAACAGAATATGGGATTTGAGAGTTGTATTTCAAAGGAATAGTAAAGATGTTAACTGTTAAAACGTTGGTATGTTTGCATACATGTATTTTCCTGGAGAGGAAAGCCACACCTTCCATCAGACTCGCAAAGGAGCCCATGGCCCCGAAAGAAAGTGAAGAGCCATCGTCCAGTGAGTCTTGGGGAAGACACCACATGGGAGAGGTCCAGACTTCTCAGAGCCACCCTAGATCCAGAAGATACTCTACACACTTGTCCCCTGGTGTCTGGAGTCAGCGTCACCAAGTTGAAGGAGCAGAAGCTGAGCTAAGCAGTCAGAGACAGTCCCCTCCACGGCCCTTGCTTAATGCCCCACACCTGGGACCAAGGAAAATAGTGGCTTATGTCAACCCACCTGACCACAAGCTGAGTCCAGGCCCTAAAAGTAGCTAAAGATTCTTTAAAAATTAGTTCAGGTGCCTGAGCAGCTCAGTCAGTTGAGTGTCCGACTTTGGCTCAGGTCATGATCTTGCAGTTTGTAGGTTGAAGCTGTGCATCGGGCTCTGTGCTGACAGCTCCGAGCCTGGAGCCTGCTTCAGATTCTGTGTTTCCCTCTCTCTCTGACCCTCCTCCTCTCATGTTCTGTCTGTCTGTCTGTCTGTCTCTCTCTCAAGAATAAAACATTAAAAAATTTTAATAATAAAAAATAGTTCAACACAAATGGAGTCTTCTAGCTCCTTTCAAACGGGTAGTATGATTGTTTTTCTAAATTATATCATAGCGATTTTTGCCAGAAACAGTTCTCAACTTTGGAATCCTGTAGCCCAAACCTGTCTCCTAAGCACAGTAAACTAAAATAGAAGAACAGACACGGCTGTCCCTTCAGTGAATTTGCTAACTACTAACTGAATCTAATGGAAATATATTAAATTATGGAAGTATATTGAAATTGCCAACATTTGGCTACATAATCAACCTAGACCTACATTTTTTCAGTAAGAAAACAACTAGTAAGAACGTTGAAACTATACACAATGACCAGTTCAATTTAGCTCTCATTGAACTGATTGATTGTGGTTTTAATGGAACGACAAGACGCAGAAAGTTCGATGGTGTGGGTCATCGTTCTGTGAGCCTCCTGCCCCCTTCACCTCCCACTGTGGGAGGGAGCGGTGCCCTGGCCCTCTGGGGACACGCGGCCATGGGACGGGCTTTGCCTATGGCTTCGGGAGGCCCGACACAAGCACAGGTCTTCCGTGTGTTGTCTGTGTGGCTAACCTCTTGTGCTCTGCTCATGCCCCAGAAGAAGAGTGAGACCCCAGGGACCACTGCCCTTCCGCCGCAGGCCTGGGCCACCACCGTGAGCGCGTGGGATAAAGGGGGGCTGCTGGGAGCAGCTGACTTAGGGAAGCCTTCTTACGCCTCTTTATTACGGCTACAACTAACAAATTCTTTTTTTTTTAATGTTTATTTTTGAGAGAGAGAGAGCTTGAGTGGGGGAGGGACAGCGAGAGAGGGGAACACAGAATCTGAAGCAGGCTCCAGGCTCTGAGCTGTCAGCATGGAGCCCAATGCAGGCCTCAAACCCACAAACAGTGGGAACATGACCTGAGCCAAAGTTGGACACTTAACCGACTGAGCAACCCAGGTGCCCCTAACAAATTCCTCTTGATGCCTCTTGCAGATCAGAAAAGTTGCCCCAGCCAAAAGAATGCCTTTGCATCCTAGGTGAGCCACGTAGAAAATCTGAGCTCTGACACCTGGGTTATTTCAGTTGTTTTCCCTCAAAGAAACAGGAGAGATTGTCATCTGCCTGAAAACTAGATTCAGAGCCTAGAAATAAATGTTTCATGATAAACAAGAGACCTTGGTAAACACCCAGTAGAGATTTATAATTGATGAGGAATAGGCTTGGGTTCTGGCAAGCTCTTGTGGATTCAAGTGATAAGGAGTCCATTCAGTTTACTGGCTTCTTTTTTTTTTTTAATGTTTATTTTTGAAACAGAAAGAGAGAGAGCCAGAATGCGAGAGGAGGAGGGGAGGGGTGCAGAGAGGGGGACACAGAATCCGAAGCAGGCTCCAGGCTCTGAGCTGTCAGCACAGAGCGCAATACGGGGCTCAAACCCAGGAACCGTGAGATCATGACCTGAGCCCAAGTCAGATGCTTAACCAACTGACCCACCCAGTTTCCCAGTTTATTAGCTTTTAAAGTTTGAGTGCTCTTCCAGGTGTTTGAGGGCTGATGTTAAGATTCAAGATTGTTCAAGTTAAAATGTGACACAGAATCGAAGCCATATATGTGAAAAAGAAAATCTAAATTAGCGATGGTTAACTGTTGTGCCTTTAAAACTTGCTTTGTGTGAGGGGCCCCTGAGGGGCTCAGTCGGTTAAGCCTCCGACTCCTGGTTTCTGCTTAGGTCATGGCCTCACGGGTCATGAGTTCAAGCCCTGCACCAGGCTCTGTGCTGACAACGCAGAGTCTGCTTGGGATTCTCTCTCTCTCCTTCTCTCTCTGCCCCTCCCCACCGTCTCTCTCAAAAATCAATAAATAAACATTTTTAAAAATTGCATTGTGTGAGGGTAGGGAGGAAGACATTTGCTTTTAGGGAACCAAAAAAACAGAGTAGAGATAAAATCGGGTGCCCTTCTTGTCTTTCAGCAGAGGGGATCCCCCTCCAAGCCCCAGTGCTCAAACAGAGGCAGTACCACTGAGACCCTGTCCGAAGCACCCAGGTTTGTTACTAGGTCATAAACAGGAGCGGCAAGTCCATTATTCTGTCTCAGGTCCTATTGTGCTCTGCATAAGGAGAGAGGGATGAGGGTGGGAAACACCCAGGCCATTTGCAAAGGCCAAGGTCAATGGCTGGCTTTCCCCAGCCTCCCGCCACCACCCCCGCCCCCCCCCGCCACCACCCTGGACATGTTTGAGGCTCTAAGGTGATACCCTGGTGCCTGCCATGTGGGCCGGCCAGTGGTGCTGCCTGTGTGATGCCGCCCACAGTGGTGCTGGGCGTGAGCTGGAACACTAGTCAGACCGTCTACACCTGCACTCTGGCTAAGGTGAGGTGGGGTGTGGGGGGCTGTGGCCGAAGAGCTTGCTCAGATTCAGTGAGCTCACGGAGACCAGTGGTTCTCGAAAAGTCATCGTGAGGCAACCACATCAGCCTGACCTGGGGCGGGGCACAGACACAGGTCCTGGGGCCACACTCCGACCTGCTGGCCCAGGGAATCCAAGTGGGGGAGGGGCGCACTCCATCTCACGTGCCTGCAGGGGACTCCCCTGCGGCCAAAGTCTGGCACAGATGTGGGTGATGCTCTGTGCTTGACACATGTAAGCATGCAGCTCGCTGTCTGGGGGAGAAATACTTCCTCTGTCGGGATGGCGCTTGTTATGTTTATTACCAAATATTACCGTATTTATTATCATTATCATGATTATTGTTCTCACACAGCAGCAACAGAGTCTGGAGAGGGCAAAGCAGAAAGCCTGGAGCCTGCTTACATTTTTCTGTTTGTTTGTTCGTTTGTTTTTAATGTTTATTTATTTTGAGAGAGAGAGAGAGAGAGGCAGAGTAAGAGGGAGAGAAAAATCCCAAGCAGGCTCTGTGCTGTCAGCGCAGATCCCTGCCCAGACCCGAACTCACACACCAGGAGATCATGACGTCAGTGCAACCAGGAGCCCCAGCTTAACGGACTGAGCCACCCAGCCCTCCCCCCCCCATGCTGAACCGTCTCCCTAGTGGGTTTGGGGAGGAGCAGCTTACACATGCACAAGCCGGACGGATTTGCGTCTGGAGAGCAGTGAAGTATGGTCACCCCCCACCTTCAGAGCTAAAATGAACCTCATTCCAAGGCAGACACCTTTTTTCCCAAGTGAGGACAAAGGGACATTTTCCATTAATTCATGTGAATCCGTGTGTAGTTGCTCCGTTTCTCCTGCTCTCCCTCCACCCCCACCTTGGGCAGAAGATTTTATGGACAAACGATGCAATCCTTGTTTCTGCTACTCCCCAGTGACAGGCCTCATGCGCAGGACACCGTCCCCAGGCTCCGATGCAGGCAGCCACAGATAGCAGGTGTCCTGGGCGCGCGCCCGGGTGAGGTGACCCTGCCCTCCACCCCACTAATCTGTAAACTAAAGAGAAACTGCCTTCATTTTGTTTTCTTCTTCTTAATCTCTGTGCAAGTGCCTCTTCCTCTGGCCCTCCGGTCACCTCCAGCCCCGCGCCTCCCTGGAGGCTCCCTGGAGGCGGCAGGCAGATGGAGAGCACTGGGCTTAGTAAAGCTCACGGGCACGTGCTGCCTGGACTGGGTCCTGGAATCACCAACACTTCGGCAGAGCAAGCCAGCGGCACCAGCAAGCTTTGCAGAGAGGCTTGTTTCTGTATTTTCATTGTTGCATGATGTTCTGTTCATTAAAAATTTTCAAAACAAAATACATGCACCAAGAAAAGCCATCGCCCTGCTTGTCTGCCTTCCCCCAGGGGAGTGCCTTGTAAGGCAGGGGTGAGAGCTACTGGGCTCCAACGAGAGTCGGCCTGCACCTGTGGTCTTCCTTTACCTGCCATCTACCCACACCTGAGGTCTGCCTACACCTGCAGTCTGCCTGCACCTGTGATCCGCTGCACCTGTGATCCATCTGCATCTGTGCTGCAGGCTCTTTGCAGAACGCTGGAGATGTGGACGTGAGAGGTAAGGACTATACATGCTTCCTAGAAATGAATTTAATCTCAGTAAATTTCAGCCATTAAATGTATCTGCAACTTGCAAGCCTGAGGTCAGAGGCTATAAGCAAAAGTATTTTTGCTTTGGCTATAAGTAGAAATCATAAGAAACTACAGTAAAACCTTGGATTGCGAGTAACTTGCTTTGCGAGTGTTCTGCAAGACGAGCAAACATTTCTAAAACTTTTAACTTGATAAACAATGTCTTGCAATATGAGTTGTACATGCCACCAAATGTCACATGATCACAACTGACCCAATGGTTCTTGAAATTCGCTTTGATAGATGAGTGTTTTAGATGACAAACGTGTTTCTGGAATGAATTATGCTCGCAAACCAAGGTTTTCCTGAATTTACAAAGGTTCACACCCAGCTGCATTCTCTCCCTGTGACTGCCTCCAGTGCAGATCAGTTCCAGAAAGGCTGGGTTTGCAGGCAGAGTCCCAGATGCCACCTTCATCATCCTTGGCCCCAGAAATTCAACACCTGGATGGCTGCTTCCGAAGGACACAGAGGTCACCACTGCTCATGGGGCTGTGGAACATTTCATGACACGATCCTCATACGAGCCTTGTGGAGATGAATGGTCCGCCCTCCCAACTGGCCACCGAGTTCTACCAGCAGCCATTAGTGCACTGCACCTGGCCTCCAGCCTCACCTTGTAAATATATCCCTTCCAACAGGCCTTGAGAGAGAAGAGGGGGACCCTGTCTTTTTCTGCATTGGGGAGGCACACAATCACGTGTCCTGGGCAATCGGTCACCCTGGGGCCCTTGCTCCTATTCTCCCACATCTAACTCCTGTAACGTTAAGGGCACCCACCCCTTGAGGGAAGAAAGGCATTGTCCCTGGGGAGCCGGTGGAGCTTGGAAGTAGATGGCGCATTCGTGTGCATAGAGTCCCGTGGAGCGTATGCAGGATTCCTATCTATGAACACGAGCAGGACAGCCCTGGAGCCGTTTGTACAGGGCCACACTGCAGGCCTGATTCTGCCCCAACAAGTTTGCTGCCACCTTCCTCGCCAACACTCTTCCCTTCCTCCTTCATCAGGGAAGCAAAGGAAGAGAAGGAAGTGAGTGCCTAGCTAGGTACAAGCTAAACACGATTCCTTTGGTCCAGAAATTAAGACCATGAAATTTACCCCTTTTCCGTCAATCAAATGTGCTTTAAAAAAAAATAAGTATAGCCCACACAGTGTACAAATGATGAAGAGGTCACCAGACAGGCTTACCTAATGTTAATATCAAGTAAGAAAAATATGTATCTCTCCTACCTCACATTAACTAAATCACGGAAGCATTTCTATGAGCAAAGCAATAAAAGAGGGAGAGGAGATGGAATCAGAGAAACCTATAAAGATGATTAAGCTTGTTAAAATAAGAGCTGTTAATGGAATAAATAGCATGGGCACTAAGTGCAAATCGACAGCATCTTTCTGAGACTCAGATATTTGCGAGAATGAAAATTCCGCTATTGATTATATTTAATTATTGAAATCTCTCCCCCAAATGAAACGCAAACTAGTTTTCTGGATGACAGACTGTTATTAACTTCTGCAGCTAAATAATCTCAGTGACTATCATGCATGGAAATGGAAAAATCATTTGCCTTTTTATATTAAAACAATACAAATGAGACAAAATGACATGGTGATGTAAATCAACCCATTAAAATATAAGATACAGCTGCAAAGAGATGTTATCCTATGAGAGGCACTTCAAAGCGGAGCTTTCAGAGCCTGGACGTGCACACAGATATACGTGAAGGGGGTCAGAGGTGTATGGCTGTGGACAGCCCTGCAGATGGTCCGTGGCACCAGGCGTGGCCTAGTCTCTCCTCTCCATGGCACCCCAATCTCAACCTCTTCCTGCCTCCACTTCCAAGCTCTGCTCACAGGAAAATTGAGAGCTGCATGAAGGATATCATGAGTCATAAAGATAAAAACTAACAAACAAATAAACAAACACACACACACAACAAACCAGGAGAATTTGCATTTTGGTGAAAGACAAACATTACTGCACAGCAATGTGTCCTAGAACAAGAGAATTTTAGGAGCCACAAAAGTGAGCTGTTCACGGATTGGAAATGGGGTGGATATGAGGGACGGAAACAGGGCCTTATCCAATGTGACCCATCCAGGATTTCTGCTTCGATGCAGTCACCCACTAACAATTGCCTTCCCTGCACTGGGGAGAGGAGAGGGGAGAGAAGAGAATGGATTAGTTTTTTTACTTCAACTGCATTCTTTTCTTTTTTTTTTAAAATTTTTTAATGTTTTATTTATTTCTAGGAGAGAGAGAGAGAGAGACAGCGTGAGCAGGGGAGGGTCAGAGAGAGAGGGAGTCACAGACTGAAACAGGCTCCAGGCTCTGAGCTGGCAGTCAGCACAGAGCCCGACGCGGGGCTCAAACCCACGAACCACGAGATCATGACCTAAGCGGAAGTCGGACGCTTAACTGACTAAGCCACCCAGGCGCCCCACTTCAACTGCATTCTTATCATCAGATTCAAGTCACACACAGAGAATTTTGCCTGCACTGATGTTAATTACTATAAATCAATAGTAAAATCATTATAATGTAAAAAGGGTCACAGACTATGAGTCTGGAGTTCTCTCTTGTACAGCAAGAGAGTGGACGAAGAATTGAATATGAGAGAGGCTAATGTCTGGGAGAAGACAAGAGCCCCGAGCAGGGGTTTTGTCTCTGTATTAATTAAGCTCACAAGATATTACCCACATGGCAAACGTGAAGAAAACAAGATCTTACGCATATGAGTGTGGAGAAAACAATCAGACAGCAATCATTAACTTGTGTGTGCAAGAGGCAAAGGGTCTGGGGAACGCGTGGAGTTTGTGATCTAAGCACAGTAGTATATTAGTGTCAGATGGAAAGCACTTTCCTGCAAGTGATATAACAAGTTACTCATGATCCCATTACAATATCCCCCTGGCTAACATTGGGCATTTTCACCCTCTATTGGCAGCTTTCCTCCCTAAGCTTTTTTCTAACCCATTTATGTAAGTAGAGCCTATTTTCCCACAAATCAAGAGTGCTGAGACCTGGATGTAAGGGAAAAAAAACCTAATTAATGGGGTGCCTGGGTGGCTCAGTTGGTTAAGTGACCAACTCCAGCTCAGGTCATGATCTCACGGCTTGTGAGTTCGAGCCCCACATCAGGCTCTGTGCTGAGAGCTCAGAGCTTGGAACCTGCTTTGGATTCTGTGTCCCCTTGTCTCTCTGCTCCTCCCCTGCTCACGTTCTGTCTCTCTCTCAAAAATAAGCATTAAAAATAATAAACTGAGATTTTGCATTCTGTGTTATACAAAATTTTAAAAGAAGATTTTTAAAATGTATCAGGATATACTTTGTCTTCAGGCAGTTCCAGAGCAATGCTACAGGCTATATAGAACTTTAATTTATATTTTTAAATATTCAAAGGAATCCCCATAAATCACTTTCATCAAATATAGGTATTAGTGATTCCCACAAGACCCACGAGTCACTCTGACCTTAAGATAAGGTGCCTGCTTCTCAGTGTTTTTCTCAATTAACTTCATAAGCTTTCATTTGGCTTCATGGCCACAGCATTAATGAAATGAGAGCTTGTGCACAGATATCAATTCTCTGCCTCCTGCCCAGACACTGTAATTTTGCATCAACCCTTTTTGGAGGTGGGAGGTAGTCACTCCTCAAACACTAACACGAAATCCCTGCTAATGATATTGCTTTAAATAAATGCTGCAGGGAGTGCCGGGGGCCCAGGTCACCTGTCCCCATACCAAGTCCCTGCAAGGGCAGAGTGGCAGCCGGCCAGTCCACTGTGAACAAAGTGAGAAACCATGTTCTTGGCTCCCACTGGAACAGGGAATGAGCGATCAGCGTGTCTGGTGCTGGGCTTGGCCCACGATCCACAAAGTGACAGCGAGGCCTGTGTGCTGAGGTTCATGGGTGTCTGAGATTTAAGTAGATTTACTGCAGGTCCCACCTGTCTGCCCATGGGCCTACTGTTCCAGCATCAGCAATGAGCGGACGTCTTCGGAGAGTGGCAAATGACTAGGGATAAATCACTCAGGAGGCATCGAACGGTGATCTCCTGAGGTGACAAAGGCTTTCCTCTTTCCCATGTGCATGTGTTCCAGCCGACTGAGGTGAGCAGGGAGGGGTCCATCGCCTTTTACACGTTAGAGAACTAATGTCCACAATAATGGAGCTGCCCTTTGCCCCCGCCCAGCCTTCCATGGAGGGCATGGTGAACCCATCACGTCCACCATAGTTCTTCGATCTGAGGGCACAGTGACGTGACCAAGCAAGGTCCCTGCTCTCATGATGCTGATATTCTAGAGGAAGCAGGCAATGAACTTGAAAATGAGGAATGAGATCATTTCAACTAGACGCTAGTGCCCTGACAGATGAATAATGAGGCCAGGTTTCCTGTAAAAACTACTTTAGACACTAGGAAGGAGACAGTGGATCTGAGACTTAAACAGAAAGGTAGGAGTCACCAGAGTGCTGGGAGAAAGCTCAAGGCCAAGGCCCTTGGTGCCAAAAGTCCCCAAGTGGGAGTCAGCATGACACCATGAGGTTACAGTGATACCTACGGGGTGTAGAGCCCAGTGAGCAAGTGGGAGAGTGGTCCCAGGTGAGTCCAGGTGAGTCCAGGTGGAGACTCAGGGGGTGTCCATGTGGGGCTCCAATTGGGGTTCCAGGTGCATACAGATAGGGTCCCAGGTGGGCAGGGAGGACCCTCATCCTTATTATTCCAGGTGTTATGAGAAGCCAGTAGTGGGTTGAAAGTAAGAGATCCACTTGATCTTTTTTTTTTTTAATTTTTTAAATGTTTTACTCATTTCTAAGAGAAAGTGAGATAGCGTGAGCATGGGAGGGTCAGAGAGAGAGGGAGACACAGAATCCGAAGACAGGCTCCAGGCTCTGAGCTCTAAGCACAGAGCCCAACGCAGGGCTTGAACCCATGAACCGTGAGATCGTGACCTGAGCCGAAGTCAGACGCTTAACTGACTGAGCCACCCAGGCGCCCCCCTCCCCCACCCTTTTTTTTTTTTTAAGATCCTTCTAGCTTCTGTATGGGAATAGCTCATGTTAGTAAGAGTGCAGACAGGGACTGTTAGAGGTAAGGAGCATGCAGAAGAAACCAGGGTAGAGACACGTCCCAAGTCCCGACCACCTTCCCTGCCTCACTCACCACACTGCCTCCGAGCATGGATGGGAGACCTTGACTGTTCACATGCAGCTCTGGAGCAACCACATCTAAGACGTCATTGTTTCACAACCAGTTAGAGTCTGATGCCCACAGACTCTAGGACAGGAGGGAAGACTAATGGCAATGAGTGAAGGGGCAATCCCAGTACCTCCGAAACCTTCTCCTGCTGACAGAGGGGACCCCTCACTTTCATGAATTGGGAGCGGTTAATAAATACGATGAGAATGCAGAGACTTTCTGTTCTCTGTATGACTAACTGAAATGAAATAGGAAAAAATCAGCATGATATGAGCGAATAAATGGTTCTTACTTATCAAAAGCCCCAAATCATGGCCAGTCCATCAGACTCCTAGAGGTCTCTTGCATCTTGGTATTATTTTCTATGCTAGTCTCTGTCAAGAACGTCTATACCATAAGACGACTTTCCAAGAGAAAGGATCTACAGGGCCCCGAAGGATGCACAAGCCAAGGGGATGAAGAGAACAATGACTGGGAATGCTTTGCTCTTGTTCTGGCTCCTTCCATTTTGGACAAGGTAATATTCAGAAGGGGGGACTGCCCAACTGACCTTTTGCAGATGCAGAGGTGCCCCCAGAGCCTCTGTTCTGGCCTGGATGGGGGATGAACCTGGGGTTGCTGTCCAGTGCTGATCAGCTCGCATTTTCTGGAACTTGGGGTTGAGCCTTGACCCCACAGCAACGCACAACCACATGTCTGGGGTCACTGGTGTCAGCAGTACCTTCGGGCATGAACGTCTCCCTCCTATGTCCTTTTTTTAAAAAAGTTTATTTTATTTATTTGTTTTGGGAGAGAGAGCATGAGCAGGGGAGGGGAAGGGACAGAGAGAGAGGGAGAGAGAATCCCAAGCAGACTCTGTGTTGTCAGTGTGGAGCTGGATGCAGGGCTCGATCCCATGAACTGTGTGGTCATGACCTGCACCGAATCCAAGAGTGGGACACTTACCTACTGAGCTACCCAGGCACCCTCCCTCCTACATCTTATGTGCGAATCTCTGCTCTCTCTCTTGCCAGGATGAACTCCACACAGGCTGCCTGACCCTCACCCCACCAGTAGATTGGACAATAAACTAACATTTCCTAACCCGCCTTTGCCCCACCCTTGATTAGAAACTATCTTTAATTAAAGCACCGCATCAGAATTCTGAGCCAATTTCATCCTGGCTCTCCTAAGTGCTTTGTACAAAACATTAACTCTGGAATCTCATTACACATTTGCAACCCCTGTGACAAACATAAATGATAATTTAGCTCTAATGCCTTCTTGAGCAAGCCATATTTTTAAAAGGCTCATGGATAGATAATAGTAACTTACTGAGGGAAATGTGTAAGTGTTGGATTTATTGGTCTCTACTTTTCAAGGAAAGAGTCTGAGCAGGGGGAGTAACATCCGGAGGAAACCCTCTCGAGTAGACATCAGACAGTTCCTGGCTGCCATCCACCTGGAAGCCAGCGTTCCTGTGGCATGGCCAAGTCCTTAGGCACCAACAACAGACAGGTGGGCAGTAGCATCCCTGATTAGCACAGGAGAGTCAGGCTCTGAAATTATGTTGCTAATTTGCTCACAGAAGACGGCCTCAAAGGATCTCTATTTCAGTGTTGGAGAGGACCCTTCCGGGAGAGGGAATATAAACATTTGGGGCACCGTAGGTTTGAGGAACAATAACTGAGGGTTTAGATCTTCTGTGTTGCCTTTGACCAGTCACACTTCCCCAGCTATACCTATGCGGCCCTGGCCATGGTGGTAATCCCTCCTAAATGGACTGCTAGGCTTTGTACTAGATGAGCCCACTCCTCCAACCTCTCATGACTGAATCAAGGGTGAATTCATACTTCATCTCATATATTCGACAAGAATATGTGAGTGAAGGAGCACCTGGGTGGCTCAGTCGGTTGAGCGTCTGACACTTGCTTGTGGCTCAGGTCATGATCCCAGGGTCTTGGGATTGAGCCCCGCATCAGGCTCTGCACTGGGTGTGGAGCCTGCTTGGGATTCTCTCTCTCTCTGCTCTTTCCCCTCTTGCACTCTCTCTCTCTTTCAAAAAAAAAAAAAAAAAAAAAAAGAGGGGCGTCTGAGTGGCTCCATCAGTTAAGTGACCGACATTGGCTAAGGTCATGATCTCGCGGTCCATGAGTTCAAGCTTTGCATTGGGCTCTGTGCTGACAGCTCAGAGCCTGGAGCCTGCTTCAGATTCTGTGTCTCCCTCTCTCTCTCTCTGCCCCTCCCTTGCTTGTGCTCTGCCTCTCTCACTATCAAAAATAAATAATAATTATAAAAAAGCAGAAAGAAAGAATGTATGAGTGAGGAGATACAGACCCAGATGTGTCACAGTGGAGGGACCTGCAAGAGAGACTTCTCTTGCAGAGAAGACCTGAGCAGGCCCGGGAAGAACCACCGCCAGGGGAGCTGCTCTGGTCAATGGGGAAGACCGCAGACAAGATGCACCAGTCCTTAGATCCAACACAGCTTTATTGGACCGGGTTCCAGGAGTCTGGGCGTGGACGCTCCTATGTGGGGATTTTCATACAATTGCAGCTTCCGTATTCCACATAAAGCCTCAATCTCCTCCTCCCCCTCCACTTGCCCCAACTGGTGGTGATACTAGACAGTGGTTTTGTTGACTTGTCATTAGAAAAACTAAAAGTTAGCAAAGTAGCAATAGCAACAACAGTTCAGGAGCCTCCCTGTCCCCCCCAGGCCTCTCCACTTCCTGTGCCCTTCCTTGGTCCCATCTCACACTGGACATACCTCTCCCGTTGCCCTCACCGCCTTGTATGACGATTCTCCCCTCCCATCCTTTGAGTTTCTCGAAGGCAGAGAGAAGTCCCGTTGAACCCCACCTCCGCAATGGGAACAGCGGGAGAGCATCCGCACGACTCAGCGTGTGACAGGTGCAAAGTTTGAAAATAACCCCAGGACACCCATTTCTAGTAATTGCTTTGTACGTGTCTCTAAATGGGTGCAATGGATAATTTATAAAATACTTTTATCAAAAAGTGAAATTCTTATTTTGCTCTTTGGTGATGAAAGCCTTCCTCCTCAATGTACCAAATCCTTTTAATTTAACTTCAACATGACAATTTCCCAATTTAGGTGTGAGAAATGGTGTATGTTCCAAACCAGGTGAAAGCCCCGCCTACAAGGTCTGAATTTAGTTAATTGCCACCCTTGGAATAACAATAAAAAGGATGCATATGTTGTGCTTCATAAAATTGCTAACCTTTATTATTCTTCCTACTTTTATAATTCACTAGTTTTTAAAATAGAGCGATGCTAACTTTCTTTCATAGCCTTTGTCCTCATTTCAATGAGTCTAATTAAGAGTACTTGAAAGTGAATCTGAACTTCCAAGTTCAGGTTCAGCACTGTTAGCTGCATTGCTAATGTTCATATGATCTTCTCTTTTTTTCTCCCAGCTTATCCAGATACAAGTCACATATAACATTGTGTAAGTTTAAGAAGAACAATGTGACCAATTGATATACATAAGTATTGCAAAATGATTACCACAATAAGGTGAATTAAACAGGTCCGTCACCTCACACCGTTACCTGTTTGTGTGGGTCGTGACAAGTTTTAAGATCTACTCTCTTGGCATCTTTCCAGTACACAGTACAGTACTGTTAACTATAGCCACCATCCTGCACACACAGATCCCCAGAACTCATTCCTCTTATAACCAGAAGTGTGTGTCCTTTAACCATCTGAGTCCATTTCCCCCATCACACCCCACCCCAGCCTACTCCAGCAACCACCAATCTACTCTCTGTGATTTGGGTTTATTTATTTAACATTCTACCCATGAGTGAGAGCATACAGTATTTGTCTTCCTCTGACTTATTTCACTTAGCATAACACCCCCAGGATCCATCCATGTTGTCACAAATGGTAAGATCTCCTTCTTTCTCGTGGCTGAATAATATATATATATATATATATATATATATATATATATTATACAGTATATCTTCTTTGCCCATTCATTTGTCAAGGGACACTTGGGTTGTTTCCATGCCTTGGCTATTGTGAATAATGGTGCACTGAACATGGCGGGGGGCGGGCGGGGGCGCGGTGTGCTGATAATGATTTTATTCTCTTCAGATAGACTATGGTAGTGTTAGTTTTAACCTCTTGAGGACCCTCCACACTGTTTTCCACAGCGGCTGCACGAGTTCGCATTCCCACCAACCATGCACAAGGGCTCCTGTTTCTCCACAAAGCCACCAGTGCTTGACATCTCGTCTTTTTGGTGATAGCAATTCTAATGGGGGGGGGGGGAGGGGATAGCTCATTGTGGCTCTGATTTGCATTTCCCTACTTATTAATGATGTTGAGCACCTTTTCATATACCTGTTGGCCACCTGTATGTCTTCTTTGGAAAGGTGTCTATTCAGGTCCTCTGCCCCATTTGTTAGTTGGATTATCTAGGGGTTTTGCTATGGGATTGCAGGAGTTCCTTATAAATTTGGGGATATGTGATTTGAGATGTATGATTTGAAAATATTTTCTCCCCTTCAGTAGACTACCTTTTCATTTTGTCGATGGTTTCCTTCATTGTGCAGAAGATTTTAATAATATGCCTTATTATTATTATTATTATTATTATATGATATAGTCCCATCTGTTTATTTTTGCTTTTATTGCGTATGCTCTGGTGTCAGATCCCCAAAAATCACTGCTGAGACCCATGACAGAGAGCCTTTCCCCTATGTTTTCTTCTAGGAGTTTGGTGGTTTCAGATCTTACATTTAAATCTTGAATCCATTTTGAGTTAATTTTGTGGGCTGTGTGACCTTTATCAGAAACATAAGAGCAAACAAGAAATGTATAAATATACATTATATATGCTATTACGTGTCAGTATTAAGTGAAGTGTGGAATAAAGTTATTATTAAATAGTCTGTTTTCCATAATGCACACATTTGTTCTCATTCTCAATGTATTGCTTCCTCTCTCTGGTAACCCTTGATTCACACATCGCTATGTTGGTAATTTCACTGACATCTTTCGGCAGCTGGCAAATTTTTATTCTTAACAACATTCTTTGATTTTTATCTCTCCCTTTGCCATTTCTTATTTTCCAACAATGGGAAAACACAGTAGTCAAAAACCTTGTCCTATCATCCAAGCGGTTATTTTTGTGATGGTGTTGTGCTATGACATGCTTGTACCAAGGGCTGCTTGGAATTAAACCATTACCGCCTGAAATTTGGAAATGTTTGTGTCAATGAAAGATAGGATTGCAATGGCGTTTGCCATGTAAAAAGAAAAATGGCCCAACTACCTGGGAACGTGTAGCCCTTTGAAGTGCTTACCAGAATACAGAGAGATTTAGTGGATATATCTCCAAAGAGCAGGTCCAGGGCCAACACGAAGAAGATCTGGAGAGACAGATTTCCATGAACATAAAAAAATTTGACTTATAACTCAGGCTGAAAAATGTATTGATTGGTGAAGAAATCCATTCCATATCACACACGAGCTTAATAACAAAACGAGTGTGTGTTGCATTAATGTGCCCAACATTGTACATTTCTATACAGAAGGAGAGCTTGGACTGGACACGATCTCTAAAGTCCTTCTCCAATGACACACGTCGCCCATAGTGCTGTGCATTAGTGTATTGTGTGTGGCCACAGGCTCCCCATGTGTATCTCAGGAATACCTACTGTAAGTCTTACTGAATCCATCAAGTTGCCTGAATTAGACCAAGAGGAGCTTGAGAAAAATGAAGGCTGCTGTCAATTTCACCAGGATAATAAGTGCTTAGCACCTCTTCTGTAGCCACCAGGAGTGGACAGTTACAACACACACACACACACACACACACACACACACACACACACACACCAGGAATCTGTTTAGGGCCCTTAATAAAATCTGAAAACAAGGACTAAAAGTAGACCTCTCCCCAGTGCCTGAAGACTTGACCTCCACAAACACAGAAGCAACTTCACACCAGAATTTCATTGAGAACCTTCAACCTTGTGACATCCACAAACCCACGTATCTCTGTGCTTACGACCACAGCCCACATGTAAATCTAACTCTGTGATCCATTCGTCCATTTCTCC